GATTCACATAACATTCTTCGAATGGTTCATGGAAGTGTGTTTTTTTTATTAGTTTGTTTTTGTCAGATCTTCTGAAAGTTGAACTGGTTTTTGTCGGAAATGAAAAAAAAAATACTATAGTTCACGAATTTGATTTTGCTCTGTTTAACAACTATCGTGTGTATTATTAAACTTGGTTTTGTTGAAATTGATTAATGTTGTTCAATACTGTGGTGGTTGCAGGGAGGAGGTGTGTTTCATTAGGCATAGATTCTGTGTGTGGAGTTTAGTGAAATCTTCTTGAAGATGATTCCTTATGCAGCTGGTGTGATTGTGCCTTTAGCTTTGACGCTTCTTGTTAGGAATTCTAAGAAAGAAAAGAAAAGAGGTTTGATTGTTGACGATGTTGGTGGAGAACCAGGTTATACCATTAGGAATCATAGGTTCACTGATCCTGTTACTTCTCACTGGGATAATATCTCCACGCTTCCCGAGCTTTTTGAGATATCGTGTAGAACTCACGGCGAAAGGGCTTTCCTTGGAACCCGTAAGCTCATCTCTAGAGAGATTGAGACTAGTGAGGACGGAAAAACGTTTGAGAAACTTCATTTGGGTGATTATGAATGGTTAACTTTCGGTAGAACATTCGAAGCTGTGTGTAATTTTGCTTCTGGTTTGGTTCAAATTGGACACAAGTCGGGAGAACGTGTCGCCATTTTCGCGGATACTAGAGAAGAGTGGTTTATTTCCCTTCAGGTGCTTTTTCTTTTTTACTTCTGTTTTTCTCTGCTTTAAATCTGAATGCATTGTTGGTACAGTTGTGAAATTTTATGTGTGAATTCACTGTTACAGGGTTGCTTCAGGCGCAACGTCACTGTGGTAACGATCTATTCATCTTTGGGAGAGGAAGCTCTTTGTCATTCGCTGAATGAGGTAGTCCCTGCTTCTCTTCTCTGTTTACTCTCTAATATGACGGTCCATGTCCATGCGGTCACCTTTGGCACTTACATGTTCTGTTTCTGTATATTTCATTCTGTGATTTAAATATTTTTTTGTATTTCTGTATGTTAACTTCTCATATGTTCCTCTTTTACTCTCCAGACAGAGGTCACAACCGTAATATGTGGTTTCAAAGAACTCAAGAAACTCATGGACATAGGCCAACAGCTTGAAACCGTTAAACACGTTATATGTATGGATGATGAGTTCCCATCTGATGTGAACAGTAATTGGACGGCGACTTCGTTTGCTGATGTTCAGAAACTTGGCAGCCAAAATCCTGTCGACCCTGAGTTTCCACTTTCAGCAGATGTTGCTGTTATAATGTACACCAGTGGAAGCACTGGACTTCCCAAGGTTAGAAGGTTTTCGAAACCAGCTTACTCTTAAATTTGTTACTTCAGATCTTTAAGATTTTTGTCTGTGGGTCTGAAAATGTCTTATCAGTTAATCGTATATTGTGTAGGGTGTTATGATGACGCATGGTAATGTCCTAGCTACAGTTTCAGCAGTGATGACAATTGTTCCTGACCTTGGAAAGAGAGATATATACATGGCGTATTTACCATTGGCTCATATCCTTGAGTTAGCAGCTGAGGTATGTCAAAAATTTATTGTTCAATCCATTTAGCAGTTTCACTTTCAAGGAATTTGAATACGGTATGATATCGTTCTTTGTAGAGTGTAATGGCTACTATTGGGAGTGCTATTGGATATGGGTCTCCCTTGACGCTCACTGATACTTCAAACAAGATCAAAAAGGGGACACAAGGAGATGCCTCGGCACTAAAGCCCACTATAATGACAGCTGTTCCAGCCATCCTTGACCGTGTTCGGGATGGCGTGCGCAAAAAGGTTTGTGCTTGTTAAAGAAGTTGAGCTTTTGCTCTGCTAGTTGTTTAAATGAAACCATGCATCTCCCAGCAACCAAGATTTGCTAAATCTTTTCCATCCTCGGAGCCCTCTTGTATGTAAAACTCTATGATTGCATAAACACTTACAATTTGTCAATTTCTGACAATCAGGTTGATACAAAGGGTGGATTTTCAAAGAAACTGTTTGACTTTGCATATGCTCGGCGATTATCTGCAATCAACGGAAGTTGGTTCGGAGCCTGGGGATTGGAAAAGCTCCTATGGGATCTGCTTGTATTCAGTAAAGTCCGTGCTGTCTTGGGAGGTCAAATCCGCTATTTGCTCTCTGGTGGTGCCCCTCTTTCTGGTGACACTCAGAGATTCATTAACATTTGCGTTGGGTAAAAGCATCCCTGAATACCTCCTTGAGGCTTGCTACTCTCCAATCTTAGGTCCCTAATCTATTATTTCGTTCCTGCGCCATTTATATGAGCTAACATTCTGATGATATTCCTCAGGGCTCCAATCGGTCAGGGATATGGTCTCACAGAGACTTGTGCTGGTGGAACCTTCTCTGAGTTTGATGACACATCCGTTGGCCGTGTGGGTGCTCCACTTCCTTGCTCCTTTGTAAAGGTAACCTCTTTACCTCATATGTCACCAGTTTCGTTTCATGTCTTATCGACTGGTTTGCTCATCTTAGCTATGTATGGTTTATCAATTTGTATGTAGTAGTCTCTTGTGATCATCTGTTTGTATCTTGTTTCAGCTAGTAGACTGGCCAGAAGGCGGGTATCTAACAAGTGATAAGCCGATGCCCCGTGGTGAAATTGTAATTGGTGGCTCAAATATCACACTTGGGTATTTCAAGAATGAAGAGAAAACTCAAGAAGTTTACAAGGTGGCAAATTTAATAATATCAGTTTCTGCAATGTTTTAATATCGGTTGGTTTTTCCTCTAACCGTGGTATACACTTTACTGTTCTAAGGTTGATGAAAAGGGGATGAGGTGGTTCTACACAGGAGACATAGGACAGTTTCACCCTGATGGTTGCCTCGAGATAATAGACCGAAAGAAGGATATCGTTAAACTTCAGCACGGGGAATATGTCTCACTGGGCAAAGTATAGTCTTCTCAAAACCGAAAACTCCATTTTTTCCGTCACTCAGTTTCTTCAGATAAGCTTATTAATAAACTCCTT